TTTTTTTACAGCTTTTATAGTTTTCTTGTCCATTTTCGAAATATTTGGACAGCCAAACAGCCAGTAGTTATAGAAACACCCCATTTTTTGACCCCTAGTACGATTGATTTTGTTTCTCACAAAACGACTTGAAGCAGGTAGCTACTTGTTAACGTAGTGTTAGTGCTAAATTCTCTTGGTTGTATTTTTAGCACAGCACATTAACACTGTACATACCCTCAATCCAAAGGTAGCCATATTTATCGCTGAGACCATTGATGCTGCATTTGAAAACAGTGCCATTAACGTTTGCTGCAACATTAGCAATGTCCCATGTGGCAATGATTGAAGATGAATTGTTTTCACATCGTCCATTCAGCAACTAGAAGGAAATAAAGAGATATCTTGTAAGGAAGATGCAAAAAAAAGGAATCATTACACATCATTATTAAATGAACACAGACTGGAATCATGTCCAAATCAGTCATCCTTATTTACTGAGGATAACAGCTAAAGCTAAAGCTAAAAGTATCTGCTTATATTGTTTGAACATAGGGCCACATGAAAGAGAACCAATAAGTCCCTCACCAGAGCTGCAACGTTGTTGTCTTTTCCTGGGCAGGTCAGAGAGTAGTTGGTGTCGGGACGCTGGACAGTAAAGCTGAGTCTGTCAGACAAACTGTTGCTTAAAGCGCCGCAGCGAAAGGTAGCCGATTTGCCAGTGCTTACAGTGACATTCTGAGGGATAATAGTGTAGTTGAGCCCTTCAGGTCAGAGGCCAGGAGAAGCGTGGTGAAAAAGAACGTAAGATTATCTGATGCTGTCATTCTCTTTGCTCATTTGACTAAGAAATGGCCAACGTTTTGACTATTCTAATGTTGGCTGTTCTAAACAAAACTTATTGTCTCATTTTTAACATCCAAATCTGTGTCTGTTTAGGGGAAAGTCTTTAACCCTTTACTTCAATGGTCCACTGTAGATACTACACTAAATATCTGTTGAAGTCACCTGAATGTTTTCCCCCAACTCTAAACCTAGCATTCACGCCAACCCTAATTTTAACCTTGACCCAAAACCTAATTTTCACCCTAACAACTGAGTTTCAACAATTTACGCATTTGTAGCTTATCAAAGAGGATCATCAAGAACACCACAACTACACAAAACACCTTCGAGCATCAGATTTGAACAACGCACCTTTCGTATCACTTGGGCTAACTACCGAAATCTGCTTTTTTAAGGTGATCATTGTAACTTTAGCAACGTTTTTCCATCATAACATCATAGCCCAGCATCCCTGTTTCAAGACATTCAACCCCAAATGGTCCCCATTTTACAGTATTGTCATTGGCTATGTCTTTGTCAAGAAATTCAACCCCAAATGGCCACCATTTTGCAGTAGTGTCATAGGTCAGGACCCTATTTCAGGACATTCTACCACAAGTGGTCCCCATTTTGCTGTAGTGTCATAGGCTAGATCTCTGTTTCAAGACATTCAACCCCAAATGGTCCCCATTTAGCTATTGTGTCCTGTTTTAAGACATTTAATCTCAAATGGTCCCCATTTTACAGTATTGTCATTGGCTACATCTTTCTCAAGAAATTCAACCCCAAATGGTCCCCATTTAGCAATAGTGTCATAGGTCAGGACCCTATTTCAGTACATTCTACCACAAGTGGTCCCCATTTTGCTGTGGTGTCAAAGTCCCTGTTTCAAGACATTCTACTTCAAATTGTCCCCATTTAACCATGGTGTTGTAGGTCAGAACCCTGTGTCAAGACATTCAACTGTATGTTGTCCCAATTTTGTCATAGTGTCATAGATTATGACCCTGTTTTAAGACATTCAACCCCAAATAGTCACATATTCTTACATTTACAGATGAACAGTGGTTTGTTTGAGAAGTTCCATATCATGAAGCAAAATGTTAACTTACCTGCTGAAGGAGAAACAAACTCCAGCAATAAGACCAAAAGCAATAATAGATAAAGGGACATCCCTCTAGATATCTTCATCCTTCCTTGGTCTCCACCTCACTGAGAAGATGGGTAAAGGAACCCGTCCCAAAGGGCAATAAAAGCCCCTTCTGCTGACCCACAATCCAGCAACACCTCAGCCAGACTTATTCTTCCTGAGGAGGCACAGTGGCAAACAAAATACGACTAAACTTCTCATTTGTAAGCGGAGGAAATCTGAGGAATCTTCCTGGAACAGGTTGAATAGGCACATACCAATTTCAGTTCTAGAGGAGCATGCCAGTGTATTTTCTTCAAACTTCCTTATGTAAGTAGCACAGATTCCATGTTACCCCTTGCAGAATTGCCATTTGTGTGAGAGGCATTTTACTTACAAAGTAGCACAAACAGGCCCATTTACATTGACTGCAAAGAAAGGGCACATGGTCTCAATGAGTTGCTTTAGAGTTTACACAATGAAGATCCTCCTATTTTAATAAAGTGAATCTAGGCGTTCTGATCAGCCTGCTAAATTAAGCATCTCAAGATTTCCTTTTATAAATAAAAAGTCATGTGGTATAGGCCATTAAGAGAAAGTCACCTGATTCTTTACTTGCAAACCAATCCTGTAGATTAACTAAAAGATACAATCAAAAAGTGGTTATTCAGTTCACACGAGGGTCAAGCCTCACATCACCTCTACTTTAATGCAGATCGTGAACATCTTAAGCTTGTTATCACTGTTATCCCTGAAATACCACCATGGATCAACATCATTTGCATGTTAAAAGATCTTTGAATTTTAGCACGCCACCTGGTAAAGTGCAGGAAACGTAGCCACATGGGCAACAGAATCTCGGATTTCCTCGAAGAGTATGTCCACAGGTGCGTTCAGTGGCACATTCCAGTGAATTTCAAAAGAGCTTCTGAGCACTAATGTAATCTCAGTATGGATAAAACCTTTAGCTTCCCGTCACCTTTTCCTTGTAAAATAACCTCTTCAATGAGCACAGGAATGAAACAGCACAAAAGAAGGAAGTGTGACGTCTTTCCTCCCATTGCATTTAATCAAACTGTTTTCTTCAGCATTCAGTGGTTTTAAGGTCCAATTGTGAACCTTAAATACGTTTCCTAATGTTTTGAAACAGAGCAATAAAATAAGAAGCCTGGAGACGAGACGGGGTGTGTAGAATCAATACTACTTAGAAAATATAATTTCAATGGATTATGATACAATTATGTTCCTTGACTAAAGGTACTGAGATGTACCCTTGAGGGTACCACCCCAGTGACAAGAGGGGTAGTGCTACAGTGACAGTTTAGTACTGAGAGTGTACAGATGGTTGACAAATTAAAGGAAATATAGAGATGAAGTGTCTTACTAAGGTCTTGAGTCCCCACGAGCCACCAGAAAAGCCTCAATGCACTTTGGGATAGATTCTACAAGTCTCTGGAAGTGTACTGGACGAATGGAACAACATTCCTTCAAAAGATATTCCTTCAGATGGTGTTTTGATGATGGTGGTGGAGAACGTTGTCTAACATGTCGGTCCAAAGTCTACAATAAGTGTTCAGTTGAGTTGAGATCTGGTGAACGAAGGCTGTAGCGTATGACCATTCAGTGATCCCTAGTGCCCTGTTGATGGAGGCATTCTCATCTTGGAAGAAACCACTCCCATCAGGATAGGAATGTTTTATCACAGGATAGGTCATCAGTCAGAGTAACTCTGTTGATTTTTCCTTCTAGGACAAGCAGACCCAAGTGGACTCAAAGCATGCTAGCAAAATGGCCCCCACCAGACTCCTTCATTGTAAGGCTCAAGATTTCAGGTCTGTCCTGTTATCTTGGTGCATGCTGCACATGCACTCGCCCAACTTGTGGAGAATACAAAGAAGGACGACTCATCCGTGCATTCGTCTTTGTAGCGTTTGTGCTCTGCAACCCTACTGTAACATTCTCTGTGTAGTCATGGTCAAACTGCTCTTGCTGAGACAGTCTGAACGTGTTCTGTGTTGACGTTCTTGGTCACCTGAGAAACAGTAATGCAGGAACATCACGCTCATCAAATGTCCACTTGCATCCACAATCTCCAACCCTATTTACTGATGCCTTTCCCATAGATCTAAATGCAGGTGTCACTCTAGTCACTGTTGCTATTGAAACTCGAGCCAGGCCTGTTGAGCTGTCTTTGTGACTGAAGCTCCTACCATCCATGCCCGAACAATGAACCTTCTTCCAAAGTCACTTAGATCTTTTCCTTCAAATTTGAGGTCAACTTGGCATCTTCAGATTTGTTCACATGCGATATGGCACGGAAGCGTCTGGAAGCCTCTACATCAATGGTCTCCAACTTTGGTCCTGGAGAGCTACCTTCCTGCAGAGTTTAGTTCCAACCTGTATCCAATAAGCTGCCCCGCCCCTTACTTCACTCTGGACACCCCTGTATTAATCTTATCCGCAGAGGGATGGTGTGGCTGCAAGTTTTCACTCCAACAAAGCAGGAGGTCACCTGATGAAATGTTTGAAGACTAAGACGGACTGATTAAACAAGTACTTCAGCTTGTTTGGAGTGAAAACCTGCAGCCACAGGTGCAGATAAGCTTGGACACCATTGCTCTAATACATCTGATCCAGCCAATCAGGGACTTCAAATATGATTTTATTGCAAGAAATTGTAGCTTTGGTTGTACTGCATCCATGTTACGGACGTGCGGACGGCTCTCAACAGCCTTCAATATCATGAAGGCAAATGACTGCTTCTCTTTTATTAATGCACATCCTTGGTTTGTAAGATGTTTTGGCCATCTTGCTCTTTTCTTCATGACAGTATGAGGTTTAGTATATTGATTTATAAAGATATTGAACACAGTTGATTCAGTTACCTATACTTTAGAATCATCCTTTTCTGAAAGTCTAATAAGTCATATTTATTTTAAAAATAATTTAAAATTATTTAATTATTTAAAATGTACAAAACTCCCCTATTAACTTATCAGCCTTTTAAAAGTGGAACTATTTTGCTTATTTTGCAGAAAAACACTGAGAATAAATTCTTCTGTATACATACATTTTTACAAGGTACTTTTATTCAAAATTAAGACTTTATTTCAATGTTCAACATCATGGTTGTAATATTCACATTTAAAATGACAAAAACATACATTCTAATCAGTGTATTAGTCAGAGGTAAGCAGTTTGAATTTCCATCATGTACATACATTCTCAAAAATTACTGTAGCTTTATGAACATAAAGGAGAAAAAGTGCATATGGTGAAAAAGTTATCACTGATACATATTCCTCAAGGTATGTCAGGCAGTAGACCGGATCTCAAGTCATCTACAGTAAGTCTAGTGAGATAAAGACCGTGTGAAGGAAATAAGGGGCCGGTCACTAGTAAGAGAACATCAGTTAACATCAAATACTTTAAATAGGCAAAGGTTAATTTCCTCCAGCGGAGTTTGATTTTGTAGTGTATTCTCAATTAGCCGTAAGAGCTAACGTTACCAAATTCCATTAAATATCTTACTGTGAAGTAGCTTGTTATAGTAGAACGTCTAAAATTACAACATAGCAGCTCGGACCACGATCGACAATTAAAATATTTCATAGCATAGTAATGAAGCTATTTATATTTACAACAATGAACACAATATTAAGCAGAAATACTGACTGCCACATCAACACTACTGCTGCTAAACAAAGCAGTCTTTGGTTTTTACTTCTTCATATTAGCGCCTGACCTTCCACATCCATTAACAAAGAAATGAAAAAAGAAGAGAAACAAAATACAAACACTGTAGCCAATTAGTTTAGATCGTATTTCTTACGACAGTCATAAAGTCCTTTGTGAAAGGCCACAGGTTTCTTTATGATAGGCATAAATTCATTGACTTACTCACTGAACAGTCCACCTTGGCATGTATTAGCATTCCACATATGTACTTGTATGTGTTAACGTATTACACTGTGTAAGCCATGGCTCAATATAGCCCTAAGTTCAAGTCCTCATACTAAAGACTAAAGACCAGCCTTGTAGCCTACTGTATCATATCTAATGCACCATAACTAATGAACCAGACGGACTGGACTACATTTCTTCATAGATTTCAGGTAAGAGTAACTGGTCCACTGTTCTGCTTATAACTTTGAAAAAACATTTCAAATTTCCTTTGCACTTTCTGCTTTGTCCAGGATGTGAAAAATCAACTGAATAATTTCCTTCTGTTCAGTGGAACTGAGTGTACATCTGAAGGCACTTTGCCCCTACATAAAAAAACAGTGTTGACCTTTTTTGGCTCGTAGTAAACAAGACATGACACCATTATTTTACTGCTGAATTCAGACCTGTTAAAAGACCTGTATGTATGAAGTTGGCCTCATAAGCTTTCAAAGTTACCCTGTAAACTGTGTATTAAGCTATGCTGTATCATTTCTAAAATTACAGCCACTGTTTTTCATCCAGATGATAACTTTAAGGTAGTTTAGTGGTTTTTGAGTGAAATGTATTATTCAGAGTTATGGCAAGGCAACAGAAGAGGGTACTTGGCTTCTTTGTGTCAAAGTGATTGACTCTGGTGGTCTTGGGGACATTATGACGTCCATCATGGCGAGACACATTAGATTTTATCTCTGTCTCTTCTGGCAAGTCCAAGTCTCAGGTGGGCTATGCTGTGGATGCACGAGCCATTTTATGGACTCCTGGGGAATTCTCATACGTCTAGATGAACAGAGAAGGAGAGGAAGTAGAAAAGAAAAAAGTAAAAAAGATGGATAATAGACTCTTCGCTCAAATGAATTAGGTAACTATAGTATGGAAAATTTGACGTGTAATTTATTTGGCTAACTGACTTTGCAAGCTTTTAATACACGTTCATTTTAAATTTCAGAATAGCAAAGTTGATATATAGTTGTGTTGCAAGATTTTGTCAGTTTTTTAATCATATTGTGGGTCATAACCAAGTGATTTAATGAAAATCTTTAATAAAAATCATACACCAGCGAGCCGAAACATTATGATACATTCAGAGCCGAAACATTATGATACATTCAGAAGAGAATAACCTTGATTGTCTTCCTCTTGTAGTCGATGTGTTGGACATGAGAGAAATGGGCAGGAGTGAAAACCTGAGTGACTTTGACAAGGGCCAAATCATTATGGCCAAACAGGTCCGAAATGGCAGGGCTTGTGGGGCGCCCCCAGTCAGCAGTTGTGAATACCTCCTGACATTGATCAGAAGAGGGACACACCATGAACCGACTGCAGGGTATTGGGCAACCAAAGACTTGTCATTGCGCATAGGCAACAAAGGCTTTCCTGCCTGGTAAGAACCAACAGAATGTGGCACAAGCCACAGAATTTTTTTTATGACGGTTACGGTAGGACTGTGTCGCTACACACAGTGCATCGCACCCTGCTGTGTGGTGCTGCACATTCACAGACCAGTCAAAGTGCCCATGCTGACCCCTGTCCATGATTGAAAATGCCTACAATGGGAACACGAGCCTCAGAACTGGACCTTGGTTTGAGGAACATGATGAAGAGTTTGAGGTGTTGCCCTGGCCTCCAAATTCTACAGATCTCAATCTGATTGAGCATCTGTTGGATGTTCTGGAACAATCTGTGGTGGCTCCACCTCACAACTTACAGGACTAAGGATCTGTTGCTAACGTTGTGGTGCCAGATACCACAGGGTACCTTCATGTCGTGTAGAGCCCATAGCTCGGCGGGTTGGAGCTGTTTTGGCAGCATGCAGAGGACCAACAGCATATCAGGGAGGTCGTCATAATGTCATGGCTTATAGGTGTGAAATAATATAACGCTGAGTATCATGACTACTGCCAACACAAGCAGTCGTGGTTGTTTTCACAAATTCTGTTATCAGTTTGTTACAGCAAACATTTGTGCATTAGTAACATCCTGCATTCTTTTCACTCTTCAAGCTGGGCTGTGCAAAAGTATCCTATATTCTCTGGGTATAGTGAGTAGTAGAGGAAACACAGAGCCGTTTTGTGAATTGATTCAGATTCTTTCAAGATTAATTTTTCACTCCCCTAGTGCATGTGTGGTGTGTAATGGGTTTGACTGCTCACTCTCATGGCACTGGATATCCAGGGCAGGAAGCGGGACACTCTGGTATAGACACCGGGTTTCTTTGCCATGGCACAGCCTGTTCCCCAGCTCACCACTCCCAACAGCCTGTAGCGACTGGTCTTAGACAGGCAGTCAGCTGCCACAAATGGGCCACCGCTGTCCCCCTGATGTATACGAGTAAGAAAAATAAACAAACACAAGAATTAACAAGTTAACACAAGGAACAAAATCATGTACTTCCACAAGCCATCATCCATTATATAGCCCCTTAAAGTGCAAAGGCTCATACACTTAAATTCCTCACTTACATAGCTACACAACTAACATATAGACAAGCAATTCAAAGGAAAAATCAACATAAGCCACCATGAGCCAACAGACCAGCTTCAGGACACCTTGGCACAGATTCTACACTTCTCTGGACCTGTACTGGAGGGTTGGCGCACGAATCTTACAAAAGATATTCCCTCAACTGGTGTTTTGATGTTGTGGTGGAGAGTGCTGTCTAACATGTCAGTCCAAAATCTACCACAGGAGTTCAACTGGGTTGAGATCGGGTGTCTGCAAAGGCCAAAGCACATCATATTCACATCATCAAACCATTCAGTGACCTCTTGTGCACCGTAGATGGGGGCTCTGTCATCCTAGAAGAGAACACTCCCTTCAGAACAGAAATGTTTCATCATAGGATGAGGGTCCTCAGTCAGAATAACTTGCACTGATTTGTAGTGACCCCCCCTGCCACGTGAACCCAAATCTGACCAGTAAAAGACTTGCCACATAACAGCACCACCAGACCCCCTCATTGCAGAGGTCAAGAAATCAGGCCTGTATCTTTCTCTTCATGTAAACTGCACATGGACTCACGAACTTGTGGAGCATATGGCAAAGGACGACTTATCTGACCGTATCTCTGTAGACCAATGCTGATGGTTTTTGAACCACTGAACTCACAAAGTTCCATTCATCTTTGTAATGAGGGGGTTGTGTACTGCAGCCCTACTATAATATCCCTCTCTATGTAGGTGACACAGTCTGATCAGATGTTGCGTTAATATTCTCAGTCACCTGAGGAACAGTTGCTCTTACATATTGCACTAATACACAAGCATAACAGTCACTGAACATGCGTTAATGACCACAATTTCCAATTTCGCTATGTCTTTGCCATATGTCTAAATGCAAATATCACTTTAGTCACTGTTTCTGTTGAAACACTAGTCAGTTACAGTCTCTGTAAGTGAATTATCTGTGTCCCAATGCTGATCCCTCTTTCAAAGTCACCTAGATCTTTTCCTCCTGCCAACTTGAGCCAAAATCGAGGTCAACCGGGCCTTCTCAGCATTTTTATACATGTCACAGAGCATGGTAGGGTTTTATCTGCTTAACTGTATCATGCAGTACACCTGTCTATACTTCTTAATTCATTTATTCAGGATTTTCCTTTAATTTGTCATTCATCTGCATTATTTTCACAGTAATCAATAAATAATTCATAGTAGTTACTGTACTGTAAGTCAATGTGCATAAAATCACAGGAAAAAAATTGGCACTCACAGGAAAAATCTGGCATACTGAATACATTGTAATTAAAGTCAATTAGAAATGAATGGCGCCCTCTGGTGTCTGCTGTATGTGGTGGTGCAATCCCACAGTAGTATACCTGGCAAGAATCGGTTCCTCCTTTCTCATAACCAGCACAGAACATTGTGGTGGTGACCTGGTTGTCGTAATAATCAGGGGCGTTACAGACAGCATCGCTTATGATGGGGAGGTGGGCCTCCTGCAGAATGTTCGCTTGGGTTCCTGATAATGAGAGAGAACGACAGCGGAGAGGGAAGATAAAAGAAGAGAGATGAAATAAAGACAGAAGTGAAGGTGTCAGGGGGGATAAAACGCTCATATCATCAAAGAGGCTGCTATGAAGAGGAGGCCATCACTCCCTCTCCTCTTCAAGTATTCAGCACTCATTACTGTCAAACCCTAGATCAATGATGGAGTTCAGAGACATGAAGCTTATCAGGAGCGAGAGAGGGATGGAGAATCCTAGCCAAGTCAATGAAGTTATTAGAAATGAAACACTCTGGTGGTGATGGATGGTGCGCTAAATTGGGGTCTATGATTCACAGATTGTGTTTCTCAGAACAACGAGCCGGAGTTTAATGCTGTATCATTATTAAAGATCATTAGACTCACTCACCGTAATACTCAACGTTTCCCCAACCGGTAACGGTGCCCATCTGGCCATCAACCAGCCGCTGGCCATAGGTGGGTAAACAAACTGGCTGAATGTAGTCTACAACATAATGTGAGAGAAGAGAACCAGTCAGAGGTGCATGAGGATTTAATCAATGTATCATTTGGCCAATAAAACAAGTAAGGTTTCACTGATTTATTGGCATTGGTGGAAATGTGATACAAGAAAATGACATTCAGGAAACTTAAAATACAGTTGGGTGCTGTTTGCATGTAAACTAAGTGTATTTATGAGGTGATTTTGGTAAATAAAATAGTTTTCAACATTGTGAAATTTCACAATTACAAAATCAGCATGGGTGATATGGCAAGTATAACATGACGATACTTGAAACCATTTCCACAATTCACATTTCATTTTTCTGAGGTTTGATAAGCTGGGGCAGAAAAAGAGAACTACTTGTGCCATATTTAAAAAAAACACTATCAAAACTACGAAGGCAATGATTTTTATTCAACATTTCACATACAGCACTGCACTAAACAGGTCTAATTGTGCTCTCTTTGTAATACTACACACAGTTGGTTGGGGTTATTTAAGTACTGACGATATCCATAATATACTCACAAAATCATACTGTGACATTATGTGATGTAATTTGTCACAGTAACAATAAATATAATACTACTCACCCCTATCTTTTACCCTATAAAATTATATTGGTGATATTGGAATTTATAGCAACACTGAGGCAACATTGAGCTCTTCTATCTGATGGATATGGATGTGATAAAGCTGACAGATTCAATACTGACTGATAGAGAAGACAAAGTAAGATTAATAACCAGCAGGATCTGAGGTTTAACCCGCTTTAATGAGTTTTATTATACACTTCTGTAACCGAAGAATAGTTCAGCTACAGGAAAGAGCCCCACGAATATTCTGTAATAACTCTGGCTATGACAAAGCAATCTGAACGAAACAACATGCAATGTGCTCCTCAGCGTATGGAGCTTCGAACAAGCCGGGATGCAGGAAAACATCCTATGTGAAATTGCTGCTATTCCCCCTGAAATGCTTGCCGATATGTTCAGGAACATGGAGTACCGCGTCAAAAAGTGTCTGGCAGAAAACGGAGATCACTTCCAGCATCGCATGTGATGCAATCGATTACACACACGTCAAGGTATTAGTGCATTTTTTTGGTTCAGATTACTTCATCCTAACGGGAGTTACAACAGAATATTCAGGGCCTCTTTCGAATTAAATCCCTGTAGTTACTGAATACTAAGCCTTAGTATGTAATAAGCCTGGGATTTTAAGGGGTTAACAGGTAAGATTAATGCAGGATCACTATTTGGCAAGCAACAAGCCTAACTAATAACCATTAATAAACAAATTTTAAAACCAAACTGCATAAATCATTTATAAGGGTAGTCTTATTATTAAGTGGTATTGATTTGAAGGCATATATTAAAATAAGAAATGTTATATACAGTGCTGTGATAAACACTTTCAAGATACTTTTAACACTTTGAAATTAGGAATAATATAACAGTCTGCTGTGATATTATTCATGCATACATAATTAACTTGTTGCTCTTTCTGTCAAAAATACAGATTCTACATTTTAAAATATACATTTTAAGCATTTTAAGTAGATGAAGTGATCATTTATTATGGTTTGAATTTGTTGAAGTTATTGCTGTTGTTTCACAAAAAAAAATCTTTCCATGCTGAATTAAACATTTTTTGACATTGAAGCAAACAGAAAAAAACTCAGAAGCATATTTGAACATGTCTACACAGAAACTGAATGTGCTTAATTATGTTATTAACCACATTATTATGAAATTATGCAATTACATGTAAATAATTACATCGATGTTAATTGAATATGCAGGAAAATTACAAAAAAACTCTTGAAAATATTAAGAAAAGGAGTCCATTGAGGGCCATGCAGTGCAGCACCCGCCTTCACTAATTAGGATCCCTTCTTTTTTGCCGGGGGCTCATTAGTGAAATCAGGTGGTGCTGTGTAAGATTGGAACAAACGTCTGTAGACACTGGGGTCCTTGTTGTGTGCAGCTTCAGAAGGATACTGTGATAAACTGAGATGACTGATAAAGGTTCTTATTGATGTTCCCTCTGTAGCTCCTGTGAGCAGTGGCCGATCAGTTCTTGTGTCATTTGAAACTGTTTCTGTTCTCAGATTCAAGACTTGATTGTTGCATTGCTGCCTTGCAGTAATAGTCAGCTTTGTATTTTGGTGAAGGTGGAGTTTGTTCTACATACTGTTGCTCTCCAGTGAATCAAATAACTGCACAGCTATGAGGAGGGGGGGCTTAGTACTGTTAGCCTTTATAGCGTTTGATAAATACGCTCAATCTGATCAATTTCACTCATACTAGAACCTGCATGCTATGAGTTAGACATTCAGCCTGTACAATGCCAACCTTATGGCTATACATTCGTACCTTTGGTACACAACTAAAGAAGCAAACGTCAGACACCAAACATGTCTAGGATTATTGACTATATTTGAAATAAGACTGTGTTTGGCTAAAACTGTGTACATTTTTAGCCATCGCTTTAACAACACTGCTGGACATTATGCCTCCTCCAGTGTTGTGATGCACTAAGGGGAACATGTTACACGACAGTTACAGAGAATTTCTTCCAGAGAGTTCTGATAGCATTGTCTTTTGTTCGGGCCAGAAAAAGAGGACCTTTGTTCTCCAGACTGTGGCAACCTGAGACTGGAGGGAGGTACTACAGCACTGATGCGTTTACCTCCAGCTTTCTGCAGTGCTGTTACTGAAAGGGAGTAGATACTGTTGCTGAAATTAGGAGGAAATATCTTAATTAAGATGTTACAGTAAAACTTCTCATGTTCTTCAGTCATTGACTTGTAGTGTCATCTAAGTTCATAAGAAGGCGAAAGTCAACAAGTCAGTTACGTAACATGAAGGTATTTGGGCAATTCACCAGATTGTCAAATCTCTTTTATGCACCACACATGGATTTTGGAATACGTTGGAAATTATTTTCAATTCTACACAAAAATAATACAGAATATTAACCCTTAGAAGTCAGAGTTATCATCATTTTGCTATACATTCAGTTCACATTATACAATTTAAATGTAATTACATAATTATATCATTAAAACATGCTCTGCTACTAATGATTTCACAGCTATATATATATTTGACGTAAACCTCACCAGTAAACTGCAGTGGTTTGGTAAGGGCCAGGACAGCTATGTCGCGGCTGTTGTCGTCAATGTTAGCATCGACAAAGGGCAAATAGCTGCTGTGGTAGACGACCGTCTTCACCTCAGCGATCACCACATTCTTATGAATGGGGGTGTTGTAGATGGAGCCCATCAGCACCCTCCACCTCGATACATGACGATATCTCCTGAGAATACAGATACCCAAATGATGAGATCCTGTGTGTATATGCAGTATGTACAGTATGTATGTGCTTGTTTGTGAATAATTAGGAATACATAAAGGGTTTCTGTGAGTGTTTATGTTCTGAGAAATAAGCATATTGTCTGAGGGTGTATCTGTGAATCTATGATTGTGCATTTTAAGGACAAAATGATTTATTTTGGTTACAGAGCTTATGATAAGAGTTAAGGTTAGACTTAGAAACTCCTCAATACATATAGATTACATTTGTTCATATTTAGGGTTGTTAAAATACTAATAACACTTTCACATGATAAATAAAATTAATATCCTTATAATGCTTTAACATGATAAACGTTACATAATAATAACACTTTAACATGATTAATTATTAAATACATTTTTAAAGTCATTAACACATTTTCCAGCTTTTCAAACATACTGGTTGGAACCTGCAGCCACAAACTGCACTGAAATCATTTTATGATGAAAATAATGTTAATTTACTGAATGACATAAATTCATTCTGATGAGGCTTTAAACACTTTAGTGTCACTGCTGGACTGAGGATAGTTGAGGATGACTAAAAAAAAAGGAAGGATGAACAGATGAAAAGATGAGCTGTCATGTCTGACACACCTAACAACAAGAGAGTGGACAGTGAGTGAACCCAGTGTTTAAAAACTCTTGCAGCATTGCTGTGTGTGAACCATTTATTTAAGTGCAAAACACACTAACATGTCAGTGTCACTGCAGTACTGAAAATAACCCACCACCTAAATAATACCTGCTCTGTGGTGGTCCTGTGGGGTCCTGACCATTGAAGAACATGGTGAAAGGGGGCTAATGAAACAAATGTACTACGGTCTGTAATTATAGAACTACAAGATGCACTTATGATAAGTGGACCTGACCAAATGGACAGTAGATACAATGTAAGTGTACTTAATGAGGTGGCCGGTCACTGTATGTATAATACATATGGGACATATTATTAAGCTGATCGAGAGAATGTCAAGCTGTCATTAAAGCAAAAGATGGCTACTTTGAAGAATCTACAGTATAAAACATATTCTGGTTTGTTTAACACTTTTCTGCTTATTACATATTTCCCTTCATAGTTTTCATATCTTTAATAATAATCTAGAATGTAGAAAATAAAATTAAAGAAAAAAGCACTGAATGAGAATGTGCGTCCAAACCTTTGACTAGTACTGTGGATATCATCGCTGTCCAAAAAAATTCCACCTGTTTTTATAAGTCTATAGTTTTTTAAGTCTATATTTCTAAATATCTACTTTTTTATTTTATTTTATTACATCATTTGAACACAGCAGCTGTCCTTTACATTGTGTAAAAATGACATGATAAATGGACCAATAGAAATGCTCCAAAACTGTTTAAAATACAATCTCTTTACATTAACTTCACATTAACATTAAAAGTAAAGAACATTTTTGCCTTCTCCTGTAAAGTCGCCTACTTGTTTTTTTTTGGACAGCAACAATACAAGTGCTTACATATAAATAATACACATGGGACATATTTTTATTATTATTATTATTATTATATAAATAGTGTCCATAAATCCATATAAGACATACTGTATATGTAACCCCCCATCCTAACAAGGTATAAAAACAAATGTCTCTCTGTGTGTGTGTGTGTGTGTGTGTGTGTGACTCACTCAGGAAAGCAGTGTGCTGCGCTGATGATCCAGCGGTCAGATATGATGGATCCTCCACACTGGTGAACCCCATCATATTGCAGACTGACCTGCCATGGCCAGGAGCCCTGTCGAGCATCAGCTCCGCCCACAATTCGCTCCTCAGGGAGCATTCGACGTCCACAGTCTGCACAACAGCCCAGAAAACAAAGTTATAAATTGGAAAACACCAGCTGCCCTTTACTTTGTGTAAATATTTCATGATAAACGGACCAACAGAAACAGTCCAAGATTATCTGGAATACAATCTTACATTACATTTAATGCACATTAAATTTTATTATGTTTTTTCTTTCTCATATAAAGTTACTATTTCAGATGATTTTTTAGGAGGCATTCAGACTTTTTTAATGTGAGGTGAGCTGTGTCTCTTAAAAAGAAACAGGATGTGCTGTGTAGAGGGCAGGTTAACACGGTTCATTGACAAGCAGGTAAACACAAGATTTGAGAGAATGCAAAAGTCAAAACAACAAATAGAACTTGTTACGCTAGGGATACTATGTCCTTATTCAGTAACCTCTGAAAAGGTAACCTTATAGAAGAAGGGAAAAACCTTACCTACGACCTGCTAATGTGCTTTTAAAACCAACATGAAATGTTTGGTCTTCAAAATTTCTGCTGGTCTATTAATCCACAAATGTTCATGCAGTATAAATGGTGTAAAAAATAGAAAATGTGACAGTGATGACACATGACTACACATGACTACGATGATATCTTCCTACATCTTACCTTGACAAAGCACTTCAACAATCTGTCCTTTTTCACATTTGCTGAAACAGAGACGGGAGTCACTCAGCACAGTCTGTATTTCACCAGTCACTCAGGTTTTACAGACTAATTGCACCATTTAAATGCAGATTGTAAATTAAAACTACATTAAAATGCCACTTTTAAAGCAGAATTTTGACTGTATGGATTTGTGGTATGGAGAATCTCACCATGGATACAGTGCAGTGCTGATCTTCTTGCCGTATGTTAACTCGCTCTCCTTTACGCAGAAAAACTCGTGGCCACTGTCAGAAGCACAGGTGACTGAGAAATTTATTGCCCTGGAAGACAAGAGGAGAAAAAATTCAACAGGATAATGTGAGTGATACAGAAATTCTGAAAATCTAGTTCTGTCTGTTGCTTCCTCCTCCTCTCTGCTCTGCCTGTCTTTCTTTTACCCTGTATATTAACCCTTGTTTGGTGTTGATGTTGTTACTCAGTGGTCTGGTGGACCCACCACATTACTGTTTATTTAAATCATAACCATAACAATTTATGTAAAAATACCAGATGTTTAAAATATCACAAGCGGCCAGCGTAGGGTTCTCCTTTAGCAGCTGTAGCCAGTCAGCAACCTGTCCATGTTGTCCATCCTCACACACACATATACAAACACACACACACACACACACACACATACATACATACACACACACACACACGGGGCACAGCACCTCCACACTTTTTTATTCCCTGTACAGAGTGAAGGCACTGAAAATGTGTTATTTTATATGTTCTTCACAGAAAATGAGCAAAGACCAAGGAAATAATAATAAATCGCTTCATTTTTTCTTTTGGTAAACATTGAAAATGAGTCCCACAGATCCCAAAACCACACAGGGGTTAATTCTGTCACTATGCACTGCATATTTAAACTAGACACTCCATATCATACTATTATAAAATCTGGAAATACTTGGCTGCATGTCACAATGGCCTATTGCATATAACCTCAAAAAAAATACATTTATCTTACGTTTAAAATGTGGAAAACTGTAAACTGCAGCTTCCTCTGCTGGCTCAGCCCTCATTTTGGCTGCTGTGTGTTCCATACTAGGGCTGAATAATTCATTGGTTTTATATTGAAATTGCAAGAGTGCAATTTTCAAAACTCAAGAGCTTCATTTATCTCACTTTTAATTTCTCGCAATACTGCCTTTTAACCTAATAACGTAGAGCTTGTGAACTGGTAGTCTGGCACACTACGTTCACCAATCAAGCCTCGAATCTGAAAAATGAACCTGCTGGTCCTCTTGGTAAAAAAAAGCCTGGATCTTAATTTATACAAAATAATCAGATTTGAAAAGCAGTCGCATTATTGGTCAGAAAAATCGCAATTGTTTCTCCCAGTCGTTCAGCCCTAATCCACACTTCACTGTTCAGCACTTCTAGTACATTATGCTGCTTTCCATCTTTTCCTCCCATTTTCCCTTGCAAGCTCTCTCTCTCTCTTCTCTCTGCCTTTTTTCTCAGTCCCCTCTTTTCTTCATCGTTACCTGACGAAGCCCATCTCCTCACAGCTGATGGCAGCGAGCAGCTGATTGGCGCTGGAAGAGCACACGTGCCTCCACCTCCGCTGTACCGAGTCAAACACCCGCAGCCTCTGATCTGCCACGCTCACCTGCACTGTAATGGGGAGGAAGATGCAATAAGATTACTTCTATTACAAATGAGACAGAGCATACTGCAATATATAAATATAACATCTCAAAACATGGACATATTTTCACATTTACAAATTTGCCAACAAGCTGGAACAAACAAAATGCATCAGCAAAGCAGTGAATGAAAAAAGTTCCATGTTTTTAACTGAATATTTGCAAAAAAATAAATGAAACAGGAGGCAAAACAGAAAAACATTAGGAAAAATCAGTTACTTGCTCACGATGCAGTTTATGCAGTTATTTTACACTGGTTGTTTTTACTTACAGTCTCTTTATAATGGCTCTAAATCTGTCTTAGTTTTTACATATCGGTGTCCAGTGCTTTAGAACTATTGACTAGACACACCATAATGATGAATATCATTAAAGCACCCAGCCCTAATTACAAACACAGGCTAACATGACTAACATCACACAAGTCCTTACAACTCCAATGTCAGGCATTCTGAAACAAGATACTGTTACAATCCATTGATTTGTTAGCACCTTACCATCGTATAAGCCTGTGTCTTCTGCTGTCCTCAAGTAGGTTACTGAAAAACAAGCACAAATACACGCCTTTAAAAACTCAAGTTCAAAAGTAGATCAACATTACACTTCAGTATCCTTCAAATTAGTATTATTACCATATACACGAGTATTACTGCCACAGACGTGATTTTACTGCCTTAGACATGAATAGACATCAAAACTACTGCCATATAAATCAAAAATGATTTATTACCATAAACATGAGTTTCACCACCATAAGCTATTTTCAAACTGGACTGGTTCTACATGAGAAGGTGCTGTAATTTCAGAGATTAGTGACGAGATCTGTGATTTAACTCCTGCACAAATCTGCAACGTTCATAGTCTGCTAAGTAATTATTTCCAAGCAAAGCAAATCAACAACACTTTTAGTAATGGCTTACTCAGACATAGAATTAAAATAAAGGACCCTGAAAGTACCTGTCACAGGGCAGTTCTGTCTGAGCTCTCTTGGGTGGAAGGTTATGTTGAGCCCATATCACTATCTTATTGCTACTGTGTCTGATATTAGCTGGAATATAATCTCGGATATTTGAATGTTCTATAAGAATAAAGAAAGATATGTGTTTTACTTTAGTGATTAAATACATTTTTGTCTGTTATTTATTGTTATTATTACAGTCATTATTATTTATACTTTTATCAATATTTATTACATTACATAATAATATTATACAATATATAATATAATAAATATTTCTATATTATTTATTAATGAAACTTGAGATACTACAAGGTAAATAAAAAAACACACTGATAAACAGCTATAGTCATAGCGAGCAGCAAAAAATGAAACCGGTTTTTTGTCAGCTCTCGAGAATCAGCGAGATGGTGACCTTGTTTTAGCCTCTAAATGTCCAGGGCTTTTAAACCAATCAAAAAACGCTTTTTGCCCAGCTGTGTTAGTCTTAACTCCCAGTGCAGTTTCTTCCTGGTCCAGACAGCCAGCGTACTCTGCCTTTTAAGTGCAGATCATGCTAGCAATACAGTGATATCATGATATACAGCATTTTTATCAAATAATCATTGCAGCCCTAGGTTGGACCCATTTCATTTGAACCTTAACTCTGACGTGAACGTTCAGGCTATGGCGTTTCAATCCGGGCGATGTGGGGTAATTTGGAGAAATTAAATAAACATGGATATTACTGGGGCGACCAGTAGCCTTGTACAAATGGAGGCTAGTCAGCAATCAGAAGGTCATGGGTTTGAATCCCAGGACTGACTGGGTATATCTGGTTGTGCCCTTGGGCAAGGCACTTGACCCCCCAATGCCCTAGGCAGTGCTGCTCTGCTGGTGATGCTGTGCTGCTACCAAACAGGGAATAGTTAGACAGCAAATTGACAAATTACCCTTGAGGGACCAATGAAATGCATACAAAACTTATCTCATACAAACTGGCCAGTAAAATCCCATTTAGATCATATTACAGCACCTCCTAAAACTAATCCAGCTTGAATAGGGCTATAGACATGAATAGATATTAATATTACTGCAACAGACACAAACAGACCTTAATATTACTGACATAGACATGAACAGACATTAATATTACTGACACAGACATGAATAGACATTAATATTACTGACATAGACATGAACAGACATTAATATTACTGACACAGACATGAATAGACAGTTAAATTAATGACAGACACTTATAGACCTTTAAATTACTGACATAGACATGAACAGACATTAATATTACTGACATAGACATGAATAGACATTAATATTACTGACATAGACATGAATAGACCTTTAAATTACTGACATAGACACTTATAGACCTTTAAATTACTGACATAGACACAAACAGACATTAAGACTGGGATATTGCCACACATTGTCAACAATCAAGGTAACTGGGAGCAAACTCGAGCATCCTAGTGCTAGACAATACATTTCCCATAAAACACAGCAGCATGTCTCACCCAGGGCCCAGATGGTGGCTCCCAATGCCCCCAGTACAACCACAGTCAAACCCACAGCAACAGCAACTCGGCATGGACTACATAGGGCCATCCCTTGTGCTCCTGTAAAAGACAAACCAAAGACACATTACAGAGCAAGCAGCCAAATGATGTTGTTTATTATAAACGTACAGAACAATGTACAGAACCTGAGGGCAGTGAAATGACAGGCCTCAAAAGAACTATATGTCTAAGAAAAATGTGTATAATATTCAGCAGAGTAGCCTCTACTGCCTAAAGGGCTTAATAAATCATTGCTGTTAGAACAAAGCCACCATTTCCAAATTGGTGATTTTACAGGAGCAGGAAAAATATTAAATGCAGGTTTTATTCCAAGTAATTGGGGACCATTTCTATTTGTCCGCTGGCCATATGAGGTAAGAACAGCTGACACATTCAAATTATTAAAAAATAATTTAAAAAACAACAAAAATGGAGATTTTTATGTGAAGTTTTATTTTGACATATATATTATATTACATTATATTGAATTATATTCAAAGCCCACAGCACAGATAAGAGAGATAATTTAATTCTCACAAAACTGCCTCAAACAATCAACATTAATATTTCAATGTCATAATCATCAAGCAGATGATAAATTATCATATAATAAGTAGTTCAGTTGGAGCTCTATATGGTAGAAGAAAAGTTACTTTAAATTCAAGCAAAACAACAAAATGTTGCACAAGTGAAATAAACTCAATGGCTGCCAATGTGTTTCGGTAATGAGATAAAATCACAAAATATAACTGTGAAACGTTTTAATAAATAGCTTCAAAATAATGAGACAACAGTATGCAGATTATAAAAAAGTTGGGGAAAAAATTTATCATTATCAGATTTATCATCAGATCTCATTGTGTTGTGGTAATGACAGTTTAGTCACTTACATCACAAAATGTATATCTACTGAAAATCAGTTAAATCAATCAGGTTTATTTCTAAATACTCAACCAGGCATCACATCCAAATAAGGGAAAACACTGTGTTAATTATTTTTTGAGTCTGTCATGCCTGTGAGAATAACTCAGTGTTCACAAAATACCTAACAGAAATGAATTTGCCCTGAAATCCAGAGACTCCAGCAGATTAAGCACGAAGCTCACTTACTACTGCAGAGAGAAGAATGAGATCAATAGTCCAAAGTCAGCACTTCCATGCAAAGCAAACTGAGTATTTAATACCAGTGCCATATTCTACTCCCCTCTCACACACACAGACACACACACTGACACGCACAATCACACAGCAGACTGAGTGTCAATCTGTCCCAGGACAGGATTCGTGAGATTTGACCATGCAGCTGGTCGGTTACATAAACAATCATGTGAACTAACGTTTGATCTTTTTAAGCATCTCGTAGAGCTTAATGAGACGTAAGTGGTCAAGAAAACTGACTAAAACTATTACATTTTCAAACACTTTTGTGATTACATTTCAGAGCCCAGTGCCTGTTCGCTTCATATGTCCGTCTGCAATAAACAAAGGCTTCCACATGTGCGCAAATACAAGCCTATGTTAAATTACACATCAACATCTTATCAGTAAATCAATAAATAAGCCTGCCAGGATTATGACATTTTAGCTGCCAATCAATTGGCATATTAAAAATGGCGAGAATTTAACAGTCTTTTTTGTTTATTGCATGCAGCTATTAAGGTACATGCCTAAAATGGCCAAATTAGCTGATTAGCTAGCTTGTAGGGATGTAACAATCCACAAAATCCATGACTCAATTTGATAGAATACCATAGTGTCTCAATACAATGTATTTTTCAATACACCAAAAAAAAACATGGCTGAAAATGTGTTAACAAATATATACATATATGGGACGCACATCTTAATCACTGAATTCAGCTGCTTGGTTTGTTTTTCAGGGGTTGGTCTAGACCCCTTAGTTCCAGTGAAGGGAAATCTTAATGCTTCAGCAGACCAGGACATTTTGGACAATTGTATGGTTCCAACTTTGTGGGAACAGTTTGGGGAAGGTCCTTTTCTGTTCCAGCATGACTGAGCCCCAGTGCACAAAGCAAGGTCCATAAAGACCTGGCTGGGTGAGTTTGGTGTGGGAGAACTTGACTGGCCTGCACAGAGGCCTGACCTTAACCCCATCAAACACCTTTGGGATGAACTAGAACAGAGATTGTGAGCCAGGCCCTCTCGTCCACCATCAGTGTCTGACCTCACAAATGCTCTTCTGGATAAATGGGCAAAAATTCCCACAGACACACTTTAATATCTTGTAGAAAGCTTCCCAGAAGAGTGGAAGCTGATATAGCTGCAAAAGAGGGACCAACTCCATATTAATGTCTATGGATTTAGAATGGGATGTCATAAAAGCTCCTGTAGGTGTAACGTAATGTATAGGTGCCCTAATACTTTTGTCCATATAGTATGTGTGTGTGTGTATATATATATATATATATATATATATATATATATATATATATAATATATATATATATATCACATACAGATATGACCATACCTTAATGTAGTCTACTTACTTACATTTACTACGTTATTAGTTAACGAACATATACATGGCCTCACCAGGGATAGCTTGAAGTTCATATGCATAGTATAAACAATCAACATAAAGTCGGTAGCTTCGCAGCTTTAGAGCTTTTCTGTCATGGGACAAACATGACCGTTAAAAAACATATTTGTAGGCTATAGCTTAAAGCCGCAGTACACAAAATTGGGAAGAGAGTGGACTTTGCTTGAAAATTTGAAGGAGTCTAACTTCCAAGTCACTCCTCCTCTCTCTCAGTCCCGCTTCCAAAGCCCCTCCCAGCAGAGGAGGCTGCTGTGGCTAGCAACTATGGCAACTGAAGAGGCCAGGTAAACAGCATGGAGCACATACCAGTAAGAACATGAACTAAACAATGCGTTTGCATTTGCTGAAGCTGCTTGCTGAAGACACTGACAGTGTCTGACACTCCGACTGACTGTCAGACAGTCCTTCTGGCTCTGACTGGTTGTTTTGATTCAGTTGCGGAGGACTCTTGCAAATGGCATTAAAAGCAGTAGGTGGAGCTAGAGGAGCCTGATTTTTTCACAGATTATCTGTCTCATGCACTACTGTGAGGACACAGTGATAGTTTTAGCAAATATGACAAAGGTTTTATACAGGTTACCTACTGCAGCTTTAGGGCAGCAACATTTAAGGGGCATTTAAAAAAGTTGTAAACTATTAGCATTGAGACATGTGGCTAAATAACCTAGTTGTGATAGTTCTGTTAGCTACATGTAGGACGGGTTCATCTCTGCCACGTCCCTTTGTCAATGGCTCTGGCTCTACCAATTAAAATTAAGTAGAATCGAGGAGTCGACTCGAGAGTAGGAGAGCAGGAGTCAACTCCAAAAAAATAATTAGATGATCAAATATTAACTGTTTATGAAAAAAGTGAACTTTTTAACCAAAAACATTAGCTGAAAATTTTTATTTTTTTCCGGTTAATGGGTTAATCACTAACATTCCTAGTTTCAATTTTATGTTCAGAGCTATCAGCAATATAAAAGTGTCTGTCCTGATGTCACGAGCCAGCCACAATTAAACACGCAAGTCATGATACAACGATACAGTATGATACGCTACACTGCAATTCGACACAATATCGTATGTTTTATTGCTATATTATATTATATCTTGCTTCCTGGCTGTCAATACAAGGCAGTTCCCAAAAGAAGACTGAAACAGCACAAACTCAAATAAACAAACATTACTTACCGCCACCCCTAAATGTATTATAGCACCATACAGAAGCTGTAGTTTTTTATAAGACCCATTATTGTCTCAATAAATGCTTTTTGATTTCTTTTATTTACATGCATTTGCCTCAACTCAACAGATTCACATACTGTTTGTTGAGACGTAAGCATGATTGTGAAAGCTAATAACTGTGGAACGTAAGTGTGGTCAGCTCAAATAAGTGCGATCTGCTAAAATGTTTGCGATCAGGTGATGATGTAATTACTGTGGCAGGTCCAATTCCAGATTTGCATTGCTGAAATCTCAAACTATGACTGTAGCTTTTGCTACACATGTTCATATTTACCTCAGTACAACTCTTGTCCTGTTCCAGTTTAATTTCATTGACTGCCCACGGTGCTAATTACAGCCCTGCATTATACCCTGCTCATTTAGTCCCAGTAGTCATCATATGTCATTTAATCTGCCTCCAAAAGACACCTACAATTTAGCTGTGGCATGCTGGGCCTAGCCTAGCCTAGCTTAATGAGTACATACTGAAGTGATTTGGAACTTACAGCTTGGAAACTTGGGTGAACTTTCAGGCGAGCATTTGAACATTTCTCAAAGAACTACTTTTCCAGAGGCTAATTCGTCTGAAGTAATGGTACTTTGGCTCGACTGAAGACTCTTCAACTGTGGAGCTGAACAGTCCAGCTCAAAACAGAGACACTGCAGTGTGATGATTAACTGCAGTTGCCATGCAGACTCTGAGCTCGTATGCACACAACATATACTTAGTATTACACATAGTATCATGATATGAAGAGACTTCATCACCAGAGACTGGAGGTTGTTTTCTTAATGTCGTTACAATTTGTATTCTAAAGATTCTAAAAGCAGAATCTTTTAAATGTTTACAAGAATTTCAGAATTTCTCAGCATTTGGCAGGTCCCTCTTTTATTTAATTACAGCGTGCATTTGACCTCACATGGACTCCATAAGTTTGTGCAAAAGCAGCTGATAGCAAATTAAATCCGCCTGAGAGTCGTCTGAACATGAGCTTCAATAAGAGAGATAAGATTTAAAAAAACTGAGCTTTTGTGCAAAGGCCTTAACAAATTTGCTTACATTTGAATAGTGACCTACAAACAGAGCAGAATCTTATCATTTTACTTGCTCTAAGTTTCTTTGTTTTATTTTTTTATTTTAAAAATATCCGTTGTTTATTTCCAGGGTACATTAAAAAAATTCCAAATTTTCAATGCGGTCTCAGACTTTTGGACTCCTGTGTTTGTAGGCCGGTTTTACCTGGTGATTAATTGCCTTATACATAATTAGCAATTTAGCAATTCAATCTTT